GCCCTGGGTATCATTAGGGTTACAGTGCCATGCATAACAATACTTTAAGTCATAAAGACAGTATTGTCCCAGGTCGCTCAGCCCTGAGAAAAGCCACTCCTTTGTTCATTCAGACATTCCTTCAACAAATAGCTACTGACCACCTCTAGCTGCGAACAGACAGACAGCTCCCTCCCCGCCCTCACGTTGCCTTCAGGCCAGCTGGGGGCCGCCCCAGGTAGCACTGGGAGCAGCGAGGCTCCACAGCCCCCCACCCTGCTGCCTCACTGCTGCGCTTGTAAGAGGGGGAAACTCATCCTTGCCCGGTGGCTGGAGGGCAGGCTGTAAGGCTGGGGGAGCTGCCACATTCTGCAAGATGGAAAATAAATCATGCCTCTTACTTCTGTCATTTTCTGTTTCTAGGCTCAGAAGAAAAGGGAGAAGAATTTGCTAGCATGCTTACAGAGCTTCTCTTTGAATTACATGTTGCGGCCACACCTGACAAACTCAATAAGGTCAGCACCGTCTGAGTCTGAGTTTTTGTTTTTTTAAAAGAAAGGTCTCGGTTATAAAATTCCAGAGATTCACCTGAAATGGAAAAACCCCAAACCTTAAATGGCACATGAGTGGAGACAAGTCTGAGGTCTGTAATTAAGATGTGAGGAGGCAAGAGAATGAAATGTGATGGTAGAAAACATCTAGACTGTGTCATGAGACCTGTATTTTTAGTTGCAACTGCACTAATAATTACCTTTTGACCTTGAGCGAGTCATTTCATCTCAATATAGAATTCTGTATCAGAGCAACAGTTATCTTCAGCACAGGGAGATAAGAGGGTTGCAGAATCACCAAGGGGCTTTTTCAAATTCCGTCTACCCTCCCCCACTAAAGTGACATGCCAGAATTAGGCAGAGAGAAGCCCATCAGCCAGGTCAACCCCACGTCCTCTCCTACCTGGCATGCTGGTGCTACCTCATGTCTAAGAATGTTCCAGCTTTAATGGTCTGGGTTCCTCTAATAGCACCGCAGTATGTTTTGCAAGTTAGCACAAGGTCTTGCTGTGGAGTTTCTTAATGAGGACCTTGATCATTAATTACTTAAGACTGTGTCATTTTTCCTATTCTCTCTTTGTTTTCCCTTTCTTCTCTTTAGTAAGCGGTAGCTGACACAGGCCCTCATTTATCAAGGTGGGTGAGGAAAGGGCAGAATGAGGCAATGAGGAGCAGAGATGAGTAATTTCTTTATCTCTGATAGAGGTCACCGATACTGGCAAGTTAGTGACTTGAACACAGTGGGAAATTGCCTCATTCATCTCCGTGCAGCACCTGCCACAGCTCGGAGAGTGTGTGTGGTGTCTCCAAGGCTTCACTGGTTTATTTACATAGTCAAGTAAACCTTTGTCCCTAAAAGAGGACACACCAAGGATAGTGTTGGGTTTTGTCTCCCCAGATCTTCTTGCCATTAACTTGCCAGTCAACACTGACATATTAAACTTTGCCATGTAAGCTTTAAGATGAGAAGTAAGTTTAGCATAAGCTCAGACACAACTTTCACTTAAATAGACAGCTTAAGTCATATTGGTAAAAGCTGGGAGAATCTCCTTTTCTAAATTCATGGAATAACAACAGATAGGGAAGGTGGTTTCTGCTTATTCAATGTAACCATCGTGGTTTAGGCCACAGGTTGCTCAATCTGCACTCCTGCAAAATTAAACTAGTCGCAGAGCGATGCTGTTCTTCCCAACAGCCCTTCTCTCTTCCTCTCTCCTTGAAGTCAGAAGACCTGGCACGGCTAGAGAAGAGCAGAGCCATCTTTCATCTTCCCAGAGTGATATGTTATTAGGTTCATGAAACATNTACAAATTGGTAACTACAATATGGCCTCAGGGATAGGCAAGACAGTCTGGGGAATATAATCAATAATGTTGTAAATATTTTTTAGGGGGCCAGATGGATTCGTGTCTTGTTAGGGAGACCACTTCATAGTCGGTGTAGAGGCCTGACCACTGCACGTGTATCTGAAGCAAACTGTCATTTAAATATCCTCTTCCGCTTTAGCCCCACATACTGACCTTATATGTCTTCAGTTTAGTGAGCTTTATGCTCATTGCATCAAAATAGAAGAATCAATTATGCTGAGACATAGAAAGAGGCCAGTTTCAAAGAGACTGTTAGAGAATAATGTTTGTGAGCATTTGTATGTTTCTACAAAGTCATAAAGTGTGACAAACTTGTTTTTGTTTTAGTAATGAAACTAAGAGACTAGCTGTCAAAGGTCATGAAGTTAGTATTCTGGACTCAAAGAAAAACTAACATAGATACCTCTTTTTCAGAGTAACAGTCACCAAAAAGAGCCAGGCCGTTTCTCTTCCGTTTCTTGATAATTGAGGTCGACCTTGGTCCTATTTGGGGTTCATTCAGAAAGAATAAAAAGAGGATCCCAATTCCCCCAAACATCAAGAAGATATTGTTGCCAGTGCAAGTTATGGCAGTATTACATTCACAGCTAGTGCTATTTCTTGGAGAGGAAACTTGATTCAATACTCTTAAAACGTCACTTCATGTAATATATTCCAGTCTCAGTGTAGAGCATCAAGAAGTTGAGATTTTTTTTTAGTATGACAAAAAAAATATTAAAGTCCTAAATACAATAGCATGCTTAAATTTGTCTTTCCTTAAGTGACAGAACCCTGTTATCTCCCATAATATATCCATTTTCCCAAAGGGCATCTCCACACTATCAAACCACTATTCCTTTTAATTAATTGAATAACTGTCATTCAAACACTTAAAGAAGAACCAGGAGAAAAGAATAGCGGGGTTGTCATTAAATCAGTCCAATTATGATGGAGTGTGACGAGTCCAAAAAGGTGGAAGAAGGATTATCTAAAAGCTATAAAGAAGAATCGTATCAGTGGGGGTGAACAGACAACCCAGGATCAAAACTCTGGGAAAAATCTGAACATTTTCACCAAATTTTTTTCTTATAAGCACTTACATTCCTGAAAGCTTCCTAACACCTAAGTAATTTATTTGATAGTCTCCAAAAATGTAATAAACTATCATTTTTAGATAAATTTAGTATCACGCTCCCTTGCATTAATGTTAGCTAATGATTTGCATGTTTGTCTTTCCAGCAGAGTATAATTTTATCACACTGCCATGGGTCTGTAATTTGGTTTACCACTGTTGTGAAGAGATTTTAAAAGGCTGTTTTCTATGTTTATTGCTTTAGTGAAGATGTTCTTAAGCATATATACAGACCAAGAGTTGTAGTAATGGGCATTCTTTGTTGCAACATTTTTAACCATCTGATTTTTATCTACTTTCATTTTCCTCTGTCATTTTTTTCCCTAAAACATTTGCCAGAGCTATTTGGTATATTTTCTTGTTTTATAGAATGAATGTACATTTAAAAGCTGGGGCTGCACAAAGCACTTGTGTCTCAATTTAGTGTTGATTACTCCAAATATATATATAAGTTTCAGGTGTACAAAACAATGTAATAGACATTTACACCCCTCACCAAGTGATAACCCCCCACCCACTCCCAAATATTTTTAATCTCCCTATGTTATATCTTTGTAGCACATAACAACATAGTTACATAAAGCTTTAGTGTTTACAGAATATTTTCACATTTGTTGTATTATTTCATCCTTGCAACAGTGCTGAAGAGGAGATGGGTGGGTTTTATTATNTAAAAAAAAAAAAAAAAAAAAAACTTGTCTTATGCAATGATCTCACCTGCAGGGTAAGAGCGTCTTGACAGGTGGTCTTGATGCTTTGGAATTCATTGGCAAGAAGACCATGACTGTCCTTGCAGAAAGCGACCCAGGCTTTAAGCGGACCAAGACTCTCATGGAGAGAACCGTTTCCTTATCTCAGGTGAGACTATATACTTTCGCAATGTTTTCTTTCAGTCAATAGAATAAATGCATTCTTGGTTCTTTTTAATAGATATTTTAAAGCACACAATTCAAATTCAAATAAGACAAAATAGCAGAGAGTGAGAAATTGAGTTTCTAATACACCCCTTTTCCCAGCCATTTAGTTCCTCGTGGGAGACCGCCACTGTTAATAACTTCTTATGGAGTCTATCAGAATTATCATATAGTTATAGATAGCTATGATATAGATATATGAAGCTATATGAGTGCATATGAGGTCAGACAGTTAGGTTCATGAACTCATCCTAGAAAAAATGCTACATACCTCATTGCTGAATATCACTACAGTCACCTTCAAAGTGTCCCCCTTGGGAAGCTATGCACCAATTCCAGTGTGTAGTCTACGCTTCAAAGAAATTTTGGAACTCTTTTTCTGGAATGGCCATCAGAGCTGTCGTCATATTACCCTTGATGTCCTGAATGTCATCAAAATGTCTTCCTTTCAATATTTCCTTTATCTTCGGATATGGAAAAAAGTCATTGGGGGCCAGATCAGGTGAGTAGGGAGGGTGTTCCAATACAGTTACTTGTTTCCTGGCTAAAAACTCCCTCACAGACAGTGCTCTGTGAGCTGGTACATTGTTGTGATGCAAGAGCCATGAATTGTTGAAAAGTTCAGGTCGTCTAACTTTTTCACACAGCCTGTTCAGCACTTCCAAATAGTAAACTTGGTTAACTGTTTGTCCAGTTGGTACAAATTCATAATGAATAATCTCTCTGATACCAAAAAAAGGTTAGCAACATCGTTGCAACAAGTTCATGAACTTTTATTTTATTTTATTTTATTTTATATTATTAAATTGTTAGACCTTGTATAATATACACATATGTACATATTTATGTATATACTTTTCAACCAAATGGTAGCATACTAACCACAGTCTTTTGTACCTTGCTTTATTCACTTAATAATTTCTTGAAGATTATTCCATTTAAGCTATTTGTCTTAGTCCATCCAGGCTGGTATAACAGAATACCATCAACTGAGTGGCTTATAAACAGCAAACATTTGTTCCTCATAGTGCTGGAAGTTTAAACACCTGTGAAATGAAGAATTAGACCTGGTCAGTTTCCCAGATTACCATAGTTTTTGTGGCACCTTCACAATTTTTATCACATCTATATTCAATCTACTGTCAAAAAGTAAGTAGGAATGCTCACAGAAATGTGTCACCCAAGAATCCGCACGAACCATCAGCAGTGTTCTAATTACACATCTGAAACGTGCAGAGAGTGTGGTACACAACATTCTGGGGCACACTTGAGCACTGCACGTATAGTTCACGTGGTCTGCTTAAGCTGGATCAACAGAACACGACCAACCTTAACCTCCTTCCAAACAGTAACTTTCCATTCATTCATTCATCAATCTATCCAGCCAGGCAGCCAGCCATCCATTCCACAAATGCATTTTGAATGTCCACTGTGTGCCAGGCACTGTTTCAAGCACTTAGTATACATTTAATAACCAAAATGGAAAAAAATCCCTGTCCTTAAAGAGCTTTCCTTCCAGAGAAGAGAGACAAACAAACAATAAACATTACCTAGTATTTTAGAAGGTGATGAGTGCTGTAGAAAAAAGAAAAACTAGAGCAGGAAGAGGGTAATCAGGAATATGGGAGTGAGGGGCAGTTTAAGTATTAAATTGGATTATGACTTGGAGGCTTCATGGAAATGATGACATTTGAGGAAATGCTTAAGAGAGATAAAAGGCTTGACCATGCAGAAATCTGAGTGAAGCACATTCCAGGCAGAAAAGCAGCCTTATTTAGTCTTAAAGACAAACAGGAAGCAGAATTCTGTTTGTAGCCTAGTGGTTTGGCTTAACCACTTCAGGAACCCAAAAGGAGAATGAGGCTGATTATTTTATTGACACACAATAAAAACAAAATCTATTTTTCCATGATCTTCCCTTTGCGACCTTGTGGGAATTTTATTTATGGTGCTTTTTACAGATACCATGGTGTATTTATGGTGCTTTTCACAGGTATTAAAGAACCCTATAAACTTAATGCCTCAGTAAATTTAATGAGGAACCAAATAAATGATGCTTAGAATCAAAGGAAGGAAGTGCAGGACGTGGGAGTGACTGGTGGACTTGCGTTTTTATTTAATCAACAGCAGTGAAAAAATTATCAACAGGGAAGGAACTCAGTTCACAATCACACTTTTTGAGACCAATCTAAGAACTGACAAGCTAACATTCTTATTTATATTCAGTGACTAATATGGAATATATTACAAGTTTATATTTTAATTTTTTTTCATTGAAGAGGCTAATAACCACACACAAAAATGTAAAAGTAATGTAACTCAGATAAAATCAGATCAGCTTATTTCTGCTTTAAAGTCTGCCGAGGTACAGACGTTGCAATTAATTCTGTCAGAATAGATTAAACTTTTCTAGTGCACATAAATTTGCTCGTTATAAAAAATCTCGACATTTTAGAGAATAAGAAAATTCATCCCACACATGGGAAACACCTCAGTGGAAACCACTGTTAAGCTTTTGTTGTGTTTCTTTCCAATCCTCTTCTCGGGAATGGAATTTTTGCTTTGTTTTGTCGTGTACATAATGAACATGTAAAATTCAAAGTGGACTATTATGTAAATGTTGTCAGTCGATCAATAAAAAATCATTTGTTTTAGAAATACCAAAGTGACCGAAACCTACTCCTCAAAAATACAAAGTCAGGCCTCATCTCCCCCTATGTCGTATGCAGAAAATGGGACTCTCTAGCACACACTGAGTGTATACACATTGTGTGCTTCCGCAGATGTTAAGGGAGGCCAAGGAGAAGGAGAAGCAGAGGTTGGCGCAGCAGCTCACAGCCGAGAGGACTGCACACTACGGGATGCTGTTTGATGAGTACCAAGGTTTGTCACACCTGGAGGCCCTGGAAATTCTGTCCAATGAAAGCGAAAGCAAGGTATGTCTGCACTGGTCGTTTGAAATGATGCGTTTATTAGTATGATCTCTGAAACAAGAAACTAGAAATTCTGCCATTACAATATCTCATTGTTAGAGCCTCATGTTACTGTGCTAAGGCCACAAATACTGGACAGCCTCATGACCCCATCATACTCCATATTATTTCCTCTCTGTCCTGTGCTGAGCGATCACCCCTCCTTATTCCCAAGAGGGCCAGCACAGTACGAGTCATTACTACCCCTGCCTTATGGTGCAAAAGGCTGCTCACCAACTTGGCTGTCAGGCTCCTGGCCCTGTGCCCTGCTTTGGTGAGGTGGTACCCGGGTCAGAGCTGCCCTACCAGGCCCCATCTTCATGCCCACCCAATGGAAACAGCAGCTGATGTTTCTTCAAGCCTGCAGGGTTTTCATGTATTTAGTGTTTAGGGTTATATGTTTATTCACCCATATGTTAGACGCCTGGGCTACAAAAGTCAAGATTATCTTACTGGGGCTTACAGCTCTTTTTGGTAATCCCACTGAACAGAAACCTGGGAGTTACCTAACAGCCCTGTGTGCTCACATTCTCCCGCTGTGATCCTGAGAAATAGAACATGAATGGCAGAAATCAGCAGGGTTTGGGGATTTCTTTTTTAGAGGATCTACGTGTGTGTGTGTGTGTGTGTGTGTGTGTGTGTGTGTGTGTGTGTGTGTGTATTTAGCAAACACTTACATAGCCCTTATATAGTCACT